AGCTCGTAAATGATAAAGTTATTGATGAAAAACAAGTTTTTGAACAATCACAGCCTCTTTAAAATTGCACTTATCCATCGAACAATCTTGTTAAAAAGATTACCACCTATAGTCTATAGCAATACCTAAAATTTTGAAAGACCGGAGTTTTAAATTTCGTTTTAGATTAGTGGGAATTTATTTTTTTCTAAATGCCCAGTCTTATGAACATCACGATATGATATATAGACTACTATTACCTAAAAAGAAAACCATTACAAATATAGTCAACTTTTGAATGATCCAAATACCCATTAGAATCGCCCAAGTATTTATGGATGAATTTTAAAAATGCTGACAAATGTTGACAAAAGTGTAGTTTTGAGATATTAGGCTCCGAAATTTTGGATTTCCCTCGATGTTTTTTTTTTTCTTCTTCTTCTTCTTTTCTTTTTTTTTAGAATTCTAATCTCTGTGGCAATCTTGCTGCATTATATTACATTCACATGGCATTATGAAGTGTAGCTGGTACATGGTCCTCTCCTTTTGCAAAGTACTAATGGCAATAACTGCAAATGATTGTAGAAATACCCGTTTCACCACATACTTTGTAATGTCTAACCTGACCACGTGAGGTATTTGAATGTAAAAACAACTGCTGCAGCTGTGATTTAGAAGTATATCCTATCATATTACATTTACTATATACTAAACTAACATCTACAATTAGTAGTGTACCCTTACTATGTAATGAGACCGTACGTCTGCGATATGGTGTCATGGAGGTAGGAGCTGGCAACCTTTCTCTCTGATTTTCTGGTGGAGTTTTGTCTCCCAAAGCCCCAGTCTTGGCGATCAGCTGATGGGTAAACAGAGTTGCCAGAGATTTAGTTATAACTCCTTTAATTTTACATATTTAGGAAAAATATTACGTCATGAGATTGCCAAAGCCCACTAGATTACAGGAGATTATTTTCAATTTTTCGAGTATTTTTGAAAATTTCTGTCGCGATGCCCCCCTTAAACATGTCAGAAAGGTCGTACTAGAGATTGACTTGTTGGTAACTAACCATTTGTAGAGAAATTTATGTGTAAAGACAATTAATAAACAAAACTTGCTCTGGGTATGACATGTACATACCTGCTATCTCTGGCAGCAATAATAATGTATATTTTGTGGGAGCTATGCATTCAGAAGTTAAGGAAACTAATGCATTTGTTATTTTTTTGCAAAGAAATGATCAGAATTAGTCCATGAAAGATTTTTCTTAATAAAAAACAGGGAGAACAAAACAACCAGAAACAAATTATATACAAAGAAGGTAGCTTGTCTTCCTGCTCATATTCAGAAAGACAGAGGTTGCAATGGCTCCAAGATTTATTGTCATATTTATTTTGATGAGAGAATTATGCAAAAAATGATCATGGGAAATAGACATGCCCTGGCAAGTTGTCATTCTGAATGTCATTCATCAAGTGTCATCTCCAACATTCAAAATCAGTCACCTGAACAAGGGCATGGAGGGGTATTTTGGGGGCTGTTGAAGGTGGATGGTCCTTTTAACTCTACTGTAATGCAGTATTAAAGGTTATTGTAGTCACAATGATAATATGAATTGATAAACATAAGTTTCAGCAAATAGCTTTTAAGTTCTTATATAGCCAGGTATGTCTAACAGAAACATAATATTAATTTATATTCTCCATTTTTATGAAATTATTTATTGCTTTTCCCAATTTTATAGGCAATACATGTGTAGTACTAGGAAACTAACTGCTGATGAAAAAAATATTGGCATTCTGCTCAAAAACCTCTC